AATTTTATAGACATAACACGGTGGAACCAACCACCAAGGGAACCCTAATTTGAAGAACCTGACCAAAATGCTTAATCCCTAATTTGAGTATATCTGACCTAGCTATATAGAGAGGAAAGTAGGTAAGACATGCCTGTCAAGCACATCAAGTAATGTCAGCAAAAATTGTACGTCATTCTGTTTTGTTCATCTGCAGACATTGCCGTATTGCGTGCGCTTCATGAATCATGTCAAAAGCAGCAGTGACATCATGCACAACCGGTTTTATCTATAAGATGAGGGGCTGACCCCCTCACAAAATAGGGGTCCTAAAACAAAATATGGAGGGTGCACCCTCCTCATTGCATAGAGGTTACTAGCATGGTGATCTTTTTTCCCAGAAAGCATGCCCGGCATCCTCAAGCTCTACTCCCTGACCTTTCTGCTCCAAATGATTCAAACTTCAAACCAAAAGAAGCTTCGTCTGCCGTCTGCTCGCCTCTCCGGTTCCGGCTATATAATTACGCTCTCGGGAACTCCACCTGGCCACCTCCGACGTCCTTCCGAGCGGCGTAACTCCGAGGGACCTCCGCCGAGGCGGAGCAAATGGTGCTGGGAGGTGTGAAATCCTCAGCCGAAATCCGCAGCACTGAGAAACGGCTTCGTGCCGAGGAACGTCCAAAATTCGCGACGTTAGAGATTCATCGTGGCCAGGGACATGCGATGTTTGACTCGACGGCCTCCTCTAAATGCAGCCCGCGTAGCAATGGTTGCGTAAAGGAATCCCTCACATTCCTGGCAGCATCTCCGTGCAGGTTGTGTTGAAAAATGCGAAAAGGTATTGGTATGGTGTTGTGATGTATTGCCTGCAGCAGTGACAGTGGGAAAGGAGATTTGAGGGATCGAAATTTCACAACAAAGGACAGAAAGGCTTCAGATTTCAGCCGACCTCTTCTCTCCGGCTCTTTGCTCTAAGCATTGGCGTGATTGATTCGATGTTCCAACCAGTATGCAATGTGAACTGATTGGGGGTTGATTGCTCAGATCGCTGATCAGAACAGCCAGCTGAAAAATGCAATACCAAAATGGCCACTCGCAAACAGAGGCACTCAGGCCAAACATGGCCAACAGTTCTGAATGCTAGCCGAAGCTGCTATTGAAGCCGCGCGCATCTCCTGCATGAAGACATATGAAAACGCATCATCAGTGATCCTACTTGTTCAGCCACGAGATCAAGAAGGACTTTGCCGCGCACACGCAGAAGCCAAACAGGGAAAGCTGATGCTTCGCTGTAAGTTTTACAGCTTCCAAGCCGGAACTGCAATGTGCAAGGAGTATGTAAAGCATAGTGCTGCCACTGGTGCTGCCACTGGTGCTGCCACCCCTCTTCTTGCGCAACTTACGTAGCTACTCTTCTTTCACAGGGTCAGAGTCTGACTTCAACCTTCACCTATTTGTTAATGCTGGAAAACATGCTCAAGAACTCATGACCAAGATCCCACCTCTCCATGTGGCGCCCACATGTGGCACCGTTCACCGTGGCCAAAAAAAGCATGCCGTTCTCTTCGCGTTTCGCTACCGTCGAGCGAAACGCTCTCCGGGGTGATCTGCACCGGCGCCACGGAGGCCCCTTCGGGGCGATTCTTCGGCGGCGGGATGCGATAAGGCGCCGCGTCGCCGCCTTCGCCGACGGAGCGGCGCAAGGCGGGACGGTCCCAACCGGGAGAGAGATCGGTCGCAAGGGAGTTGGTCGCCAGGCTTCGGTTTTTGTTTTTCCGAAAGTGATTTGGCAGGACATGGCAGGACAATACGTATCCATAACGTGGTGAAATACCTACACACCATGTCGAAGGGATCGTGATGGTACTTTTGTGGTTTACACTCTTTGGCTGTCGCATCTGCAGGACTGTACCCAGCAGCCAAGATGTTGGTTCCAGGGCACATGCCAGTTCAGCAGCACGGTGGATGAATAAAGACAGGGAGGTTTGCCCCTAAATAATCGTACGCTGCTGATCAACAATCCAAGTTGTTGGGGGCTTCGACCAATCACCCACACAAAAAGAACCTTAGAATCCATATGAATCCACCAAACCAGCAAATGAAAGAATGCAAAATGCTCATGAGGGTGTCCAACTGTCCAACCCCACCCCTCAAAAAGAAAAAAACACTTGAGCGATGCCATGCCGTGTGCCCGGCGCCTCGGCCTCTACTGCGGCTCCGCCGCGCTGGCGACCGCCGCGGCGGTGATCGCCGTCGAGGGGGGGACCGGCGGGGCGGCGACCGGCGCCGCGGCGGGGAGCGCCGCCTGCGGCGGAAGACGCTTTGGCTGCACACTTTGGCGCTTCGGACATCTATCACACACTTGAAGCATGATGGGACAAGTCTAAGAATGAGGAGAACTGGTCCCCTTGGAGTTCCGATTGATAATGTGACAGTGTGATGTGTCATGTCGGATATTTTCATATCTTTTCTGATGTTCTCTCTATGCCCTGACCATCCCTGGCCCAAAACGTATCCAAACCCGTCCTATCATGGACATGTGGTAGACACATGCAGACACCCCTTCAGTTCACCTCACGAGGTGCCCGCCTGGGTGGACTGCGGCTATCCCGAGCTATGCCCCTGCCACCAGCCTGTCGCCTGGTGGCGAGCTCCAACGTGCTGATAGTGTCTTAGATGAAGGAGAGGAAGAAAGAACAAAACGATTACCATTCATGCATTAAGACCCATTGTATACATATACATATACATATACATAAATATATACATATATGTATAAGAACTAAGTATATCAATAACAACATAGGATGCATGGCATGTCTGACCTAAGAGGAACATGGAGGAACAATCTCAAGACTGCAAGCACGTCAACGCATGGTGTGGTCCCAGCTCAATGGCTTTCTTTGCACCATGTCCTTTGCAGCCTTTGTACTCTTGGATGGGCCCTCCGAGAGCATTGCTGGGTAAAATGCTATATGAACTATGATTATTCGCGATTATATAAACAACGCCATAGACAACTTTGACTAGAGAAGAACTTCGCTTAAAGGAAATCGAGAGCAATATGTAAATGCGAAAGTTCTTACAATGACAATCTCAAACAAACATAATTTCCTGCCTGAAGGCGTCTGTGTCCAATTCCATAACTATTCCAATCTAATTGAAACAGCCCAGCCCTTGGCCCAACAGTGGGATTCCAACCAATGGGTCATTTACTTAATACTTAATAATACTTAAACACAATTTAACAACTATTGAGGTCTAGGATGCCTAGCACGAACAATTACCATCCCTCTTCAAGGAACAAATTCAGACATGGACAAATGCAAAAACCATTTTCGGCAATGTGGTTTTGAGATGTTTTGAGAATGTTTGAGATGATGCAAAGGCGGCCTGGGAGGGCTCCGGCTCTCCCGCCGCCGAGGAGGGCTACGGCTGTCATAGCGACCGCCCCTGGTGCACCGCTCGGAAACGAATCAAAATGTCACTCTGAAAGACCGTATTGGAGCCCCTGCACGATCATCTGCCCAACAAACGCATGTTGACGCACAACTGGCACTCAACACCCATGGGGCTCAAGGATGTGGCCAACAACGCACCAATACCTACTAAACAACCTTCCTCAAATACTCCCTCAAATCATCTCAAATCCACCACATCACCACGCACATGGTTTCACTAAAGTTTACTCCAAGAAACTCCTTCGTTCCTCTAATGATGCTCACTCTAGTAGCCCTAAGTGCCCTAAGTGGCCCAGCACCCAACTACTCATTCTTGACCGGGTCGCATCTGCCCTCTCGAGCAGCTGACGCTTGCGCTCCCACTCCGATGCTGGGCTCGTGGGCATGTCCGAGTTCAAGGCTTGAGCCAACTACTTGGCAGGAGTGCTGGGATGACAAGTCCATGCCAAAAAATGTTGCTTTGCATCATTACACTGCTGTTTTCTTTCACTCTCTGCAACTTCTCGGTCCAATGGGTTTTAAGATGTTTTAAGTTAAAATTAAGGATTCTAAAGGGTCCAGCAATTACTTTTTAAGGTAAGGAGGTGTGACTGGAGGATTGACATGGTGAAGTCATTGACCCGCTCGTCCAGGCTCCGGGCCGAGCCGCACCAGCGCATGACACTTGGCATGGTTGATGGGCACATGAATGATTTCTCCGACCTCGGGTCTGCATGATGATAGGTGATGTGACAACTTCATTGATGCAAAAAATATACAGTATCAGGAAAAAAGATCGCAATATATATATATATCCCTATCAGTCTTTGGTAAATTTCACAAGTGCTGAGATGAGATGTGCTGAGCACATTTTGCCCCCATACCCCCCTGCGCATGCAGGTCGCATGGACTGTGTAAACTCCGAGTCATTAGTGTCGAAGTGACACAACCCCGTTCGTCGAGGGGGTCGGTTTTCCACTTGTGAGTCAGAGTGTCATGCTGCCATCTGTGCTTTCATAGCGCAACAGAATCAGAAGGATTCTGAGCATGGCCTAGCCCCATTCACCAACAGCTGGTGCTAAGCTGCTAAGCTCTCAACCCATTCCCCTGCACCAACCATCAAGGCTAAATCAAATCCCATTAAGGCAATGCATATGTTTTTTGACATCTTGAAATCTTGATGTATGACTGTATGACCAGTAAACAACTCCAATTGGCACATCAATTGCACAACAACATCAGCCGCAGCCAAGGGTTTCCTGCATGTCGTGATTTGTGCTAGTCGTTGCCATACATGCAGAAACTGCCCAACATGCTGTGACTGTAACATGAGTACAGCTTTGAATTGTGAAACTGAACGGTCACGAGCCTGCTGGCACGCTTGCACTGCAGGTCTCCACCAGCATTTCTAAGGAGCTGGGCCTCAGTGCACCTATTGCGTTTGCCGCGATGCAGCCAACAGAAGCACAACGAGCTCAGAAAGACGCTCAGCTCTGCTCCAAAACACGGAGCAGTATTCCTTTCTCTTCATGCTAAATTGCAAATTGAATGTTTACAACGCTTACTAACGTTCAAGTTTTTACACACATACCAATACCGTTGTCCAGCTGCAGCACCATTGACCATCCTGCACCGCCTCAGGCGGGAGGACAGATATGCAAAGGCAATGGCACCATCATCTTCTGGGTGTGTGCCGTGGGCCTGATTTCCTACTCATCCTGTTGGTCTGAGCCGGCCTCTTCGTCACTTCCTTCTCCGCAGCTTCTCACAAGCCCCGCTCAATGAGCCAGTCCTGCATTTCGCGAGGGGTGAAGGCATCAGACTCGCCAGAGGCAGCCAGGCTGGCGATGTCGTGCTGACCTTGCCTGATCAAAGCATCAAGCAGCAATTGTCGAGCAGCACGGCCGTAGTACATGCGGAAATCTGGCGGCAAGGCAGTAGGGCAAAGTTCCTCTGGGAGCCAGGGAATGTGGAGCCGCCAGCAGGCTCGAAGTGTATATGCCCGTGCCATGCTCATGCCGGCCTCTGTCCGCACCCATTCAGCAGTTCTAAGGATCGCCTCTGGCGCATGAGATCCCTCTCCACCGGCTCCGCCTTGCAGGCCCTGGAGGCAAGAGGCCACATCTGAGACAATGTCCTCAATGGCGGTGCTCAAAACCTTCTGGTTGCAAACGTCGATCTGCTCCTGGAGCTGCGCTGGAATGCGCTGTCTCACCTCATCCAGCAGCTTGTCACTGTCGCTGGCGCCTCGTCGGACATAGACGAGACATCGAGCTTCCGTGCTTCCCTGGTTCAGGGGCTGCGGACTTTTGGGACTCGAACTGGACTTTGGAGCTGGAAGGGCGGGTGCTGAGCTCAATGGTGGACAAGCATCTGCCATGTTAGGAGGAGCTTGAAAGTCTTCACTGTTGGACCTCGTTCCGGCTGGCATGCAGCCGACAAAGGAAGATGACAGCCAATGCCACAACCCACCATTCGGCGCCCCTTCTTGGCCTGAGGGGGAGCAGGGAAGCCCTTCGTGTTCCGGCAACGCCTTCCCAAGGCCTTCCAACCCATTCTCTTCTGATGCCAATTCCTCGGTCCCCATTTCAACATCATCACCCTCGTCGTCAAAGGTCGTTCCTTCAGCTACCCGGCGCATCTCCCAACCTTCGCAAAGGCTTACTGATGAATCATTAAGGCAACACCAAGTGGAACCTCGCGGACATCGCGCGTAGGCAAAATAGTGGCCCGAGTCCACGACTCCCTTGTGCACTATTACTGCCCGCAGGTCGTATACCAAATCCTGCTCCTCTCCCAGCTGCTCCAAATGCTCATCCACTTCGTTCAGGCGTCTCACCAAAGCTTCCTGGTGCTCTGCCATCACGATCAGGTCTTGTTCCAGCGGCTCTGACATTTGCCTGGGAGCAGCCTTTGCGGCTGCGTCTAGCGCCCTCCGGTTGGCCGTCAACTCCTGCAATATGCTGCGCCTAGTCTCTGCGCAAACATGCAAACGCTTGGCCCACGGCGCATTCAAAGGTGCCAGCATCCAAGTGTTCAATTTGTCAGGGAAAGCGACTTTCACCTGGCGCTTCTTTCCACGTTGGGCAACACGATCATAAGCGAACCGGTCCAAATTCAGCCACAGCACTGGAGGCAATCGATAGGAACGGCGCTGGATGCTGCCTTGGACATCCTGAGCGTGCTCCTCCAAAAGCTGCGGCAAGGACATGGGTTTCGTGACGCACAGTTCTAACTGACAAAGATCCAAGTGAGTGACCCTCTGGTGGATCTGCCCAGCCTGCAAGTTCTCTTCATACAAATCACCACTGAAGAGTTCACGCCACACAGCTTTCAATGAGTTCGGACCTTTGGAGGCAATTCGGAACAAATGGAACATCTGCTCTGAGACATCCGCCTCTTCGGCTTGATGAAAAATCATCCGGTAGAGTTTGCCGGCATCAATGGCACTTTCCAAGCCCATATCCAGTTCAGCAAAGAGGTCTCTCAAAGCTCTCAGCACGGAGGTCTCCTCGCTCAGCTCAAGCTGAAACAAAGCCCCTCGGAAGACAGGAGTTGCAAAGAAAAGTGCCTGCACAAGAGCGTTCCAAAAGCACGAGTTCCCAGAATTCAACAGCCCAGCAGGAAGAAACGGTCCGTCTGGTCCCATCAATGGGCGGAGCCCACGATTCTCCTTTCCGGACACGCTCTCAATGAGAGCCCGCTGGAGTTCTTCGTCAAACCCACTCTGCTCCACTTGCCCCTCGACAGCCATGCTTTCAGCAATGGCTTGTTGCACCAAGGCATCCTCGTCACCAAGTGAGCCATCCATGGCGTGACCAAGAGGTGTTCTGTACTACCCCGTGCTGCTGTTGATTGTGATTTTGGCCGTTCTAACGCCGTTCTATTTGTAGGATTTTTGCTGCCCCTCACTACGAACGGTAGGAAGTTGTCAAAACAAAGCACCCCTCGCAAGGGAGAAAAGAACACAAACTGAGATCAGATCCGTTGAAAAAGGGTTCGCTCTGGGGCTCACCTGCCCCCTTTCACCCTCGCATAATACTAACGCGAATGTTTGCCCGGCATTGTCTACCCCTACCCCTTTCTGGCTTTCTTCCGAAAAACAAACTTGAGTTGCTCCAAGTTACCTCCGTGGCTCATGTTGCTCAAAAATGTGGGCAGTCGATGAAAACTGACCTGCGCCTGATCCCATATTGCATTGAAACAGTTCATGCGAGCAATGGCAAGCAACCTGAAAGCTGGTGGGGCAAGGTTTTCATCCCGGAAGTTGCGTGGGGAACTGCAGTTCTGGGTTTCATCCTCGCAGCGCAATCTTGTGCGTCGGAAATGGTTGATTCCTTGTCAACGTGAAATTATGCAACCATGAGTCCTGCGCTTCGGCGGCTGCCATGATGCATGATGTTGTACGCACAAACAATCACAAACACGATGACGAACGCTAAGATGCTGACGCTGAAACATCTGCTGAGCTGGATGCCAAACCCCCTGGCGCATCATCCCGATGTTCCCTCCAGGCCCCGGCCAACAACAACTAAAGCCACAAAAGGAAACACATCAAAACCACCGGCCCCTGCTCGTTAAGTTACCGTGCAATTGCGATCATTGTTTTTCTTGTATGGTACCCTGTAGGAAAAAATGCCGCCAAACCATGAACCACAAAAGCTGCGAAATCGTTGCTCTCTCGCCTCCGGGTGTTGGTGAAGTCGGCAGCAATGGCGGTTTGCACCTTGCTGTTTTGATGCAATGGGCGCCACAATTCATCACATGGGCTGCATGAAAACATGTTTGGAGGGTAGGGAGGCCATCATGCAATGCATGATCTCCCACTTGTGATGATACTATGAAGCTGACATGTTGAGCACCAATCCAAGCTTAATAAAGGAAATATCGCGTACCAAGGCCGCTATATTTCAGTCACCTGACTCGTTGGGAGCGAGCCTGACTAAAATCAAACGTGTGAAAACAAACACTAAATAAACATAGTTCGACAAAGGACATGTTTCCAATGGTGCTGTGTGTGTGTGTGTGCGCCCGTGGACCTTGACTTTGACACATTCCTAAGAAACAGCCGCTGCAAATGCTGCACGGACTTTGCCAGGCCTGGTTTTGGACGTTGCCATGCCGCACGAAAACGCTACACATGGCTAATCACACCGCGAAAGCTTCATTGGCTTTCAACGGCTGCAGTTGCTTGAAGAATTTGAATGTTGCACTGAACAAATTAAATCAAATCACCCCCAAACATGTCCCACTTTTCCCTAACTCTAACAAGGGCAACCTGATCAACCTGTGGAACAAATAGTGGAAAGAAAAACGCACACACACACACACGAACCTGCTAAACCTAGCATTGGTCCGCCACAAGAACGCATTGCAAAGAAACAAACTTGCCATGATTTGGCCACTGCCATCTGGGACTGCAAACTCCGCAAACCGCCGCCACAAAACAGCCACGCAGTGATAGTGAACGGGGAAGGGGAAATGCAGGCCAGCGGGAATTTACGCGCGAGCCGGACGGACATTAGCATACGAGCCGCGGGTCATGAGACGACGGGGCGAGGTCTTGCTTACTGAGGGTCTGGTGCCTGTGGTTCATATAAGTTGTTCAGTTCATACATGTTCATACTAAACATGCCCCGACAGTCAAGCTCAATACCGCCAAGTGTTTGTTTGGAAATTGTCTTTTGAAGGAGGCCCGGTTGGGTGTGGAAGGGGTGGTTTTCAAGGCCTGAGGAGAAGGAGAGAGAGAGAGAGAGAGAAAGAGAGAGAAAGAGAGAGAAAGAGAGAGAAAGAGAGAGAGAGAGAAAGAGAGAGCAAGAGCGAGAGCGAGAGCGAGAGAGAGATCGACCGATGAGACTGAAAAATTTGCCACTTCCAAGGAAAACTCAATGTTCAAACCTCAAAGATCACACACACGCATGCACACGCAAACACTCAGCCGTGAAAGCGACGGCGTAGTAATTAGAAAACCGTGTTCCCCAACAGAAACGCAACGCCAGGAGGGGGATCCCGGAAGAGCCCTTGCCAAAACAAGCTTCCCGCATGAGGACGGAATTATACTAATGTGGTCTGAAGTTCTTTCCTTACCGTGATAGCCATGTCTTCAAAACAACATTTGGCATGGAACCGCTGTAGCAAGGAGAATAAACTCCGTGTGATCCCTTGACATCCCTTTGGGCGGCTCTCTGGACACTTTACTTGAACCACGCAAGATGCAAAGAGGTATCGGAACGAGAGCGAGCGAGTTCGAACCAAGTCACTGGAGGATCACGCTGGCCGGATCTCCCCGCAGTTTTTCCTTCAAAGTAAAGATCTTTAGCTACCTCATCATGTATCTGCAGTATATTACAGTATATGCGCACATCCCCGTCCACCACCACCACCACCACCAGCGGTTTTGTCTTTAGAGTTGGTTGCTATACTTGAGAGAGGAGGGGGGTGAACGAAAGGTAGCAGGGAATCAGGCGTAATCCGGGAGGAGGTGAGAGGCCCCCCACTTGTTTGAAGAGAAGTGACTGAGCGTGATGAAAGAAAAACTAATGCACAAACTAATCACAATCACGTCACATATTTCTCAAATGCAACTTCGGATTTACATAGCGACGTGCTGCGACCCTGTAAATTGCGTGGCCGCAGGCCATGCTTGCAAACAGGACGAGCTCAAAAACACTGGTATTTACGAGGTTTTGTTGCCGTCGATCCACAGCCGCGGCAAGGTGTAAGGCCACGCTTGAAGACAGGAGGAGCTGAAAACACTGGTATTTACGGTGTTTTGTAGCCGTAGATCCAGAGGCGCACCACGGTTGTGTGCTGGAAAAGCGCAGAAAACCGTGTAAATACCGGCGTTTTCTGCCGGGAAGGTGCACAAAACCCTGTAAATACCATAGTTTTGTGCAATTTTGAAGCCTCCAAAAGCCTCAAAATCCCTTTCCGACAAAATCTTTCCTGGTTTTTGGTTTTTTTTTTGTAATTTTTCTAACCGAGACGCATCAAAAACCATCGGTTTTTGCGGTGTTTTTTGCCGGACAGCCACAAAAAACGCTGTAAATTCCATGACCCCGAGGCGCGCAAGGGTGGAGTTGAAAGGGGGGGGGGCCCGTGGTGGGGAACTTTTAGACCAATGTGCCGCCAGGGCTCCTTAGCATACTTTTCATGCAAAACCATAAGACTCCCACAAACGACCAGCAAAGCAAATCGACCTAACAAAAAAGTAATTTGCACGAAACCATGACACACACAAAGCAAAACAATGCTTCATATTTTTTTTAACCATGCATCATCAAAAAGTACATACAGACGCAAACTTGTGATTTTTTACCTTGAAATGTTAAAGTAAAAAACCACAAGTTTTGTAAAAGAACCTGGATAAAAAGGACAACATAGAACCAGACTCATCCTTACCAAAGCTCTCCCTGAAGGAAAAAAACATAGAAATCCTTTCTGCTAAATGGATACCGCTTCGTTTGATGTCTGTTTTTAAGCTGGTGACCTGGATTGCCTGAACTTTGGATTACCTGAAACTTCACAATATGTTACAAACGGGCGATTTGTAAACTATTTTAGTAGCACCACAAACGTATTTAATGCGAATGCGGGGGCGAAAAACATTAGGTTTTACATTTCAGGAGAGGATAATACCTATTTGGATTTGAGTTCAGTAAGGTTGTTTGCAACTTTGCAAAATAACGATCGAACAAGACACCATTTCTTACGTCCATTAGGAGGCTTACATGCCTTTATTCAACGATACAGAGCAATAGTAGGAGGTCAAATGGATCGAAATATTGTTGAATACAATAGACACTGTGAGTTGTATGTTAGAGACATGGATGACATAGAGATGTCAGCTAACCCAAGATGGGACGCTGACTTTCATGACTATGCTACAGTAATGGTTTGGATGTATTATTGCAGGCTACTACTGCTGGTGTTACTCCAACCCCCGGTGTAGTAACTGTATCCCCTGACGGTGATAAAAATGAATGGGGTAGAATAGATAAAATATACAGTATACAAGACACTCATTGACAAGAATTTCCGGCGCTAATGGTAAAGCCCGATTCAGCCATAAGCCTGTTTGTGGGTTGATGCAATCAAATTATTATTTACCTTTGAGGTATGCGCCTTTGGAATTAGAATTCGCAATTGTTAATGATGAATTGGTACCTATTGTAGAACCACAAGGAGGCGCAGTAGGAAGCCCGAACACTCAAACTGACAAACAGGGGTATTACTTTCAAGCAGCTAACACTTCTACACAGTGGGAATTAAACAATGTTATTATCAGAGCTGAAGTAATGACTTTAGACAACACTGTTAATAACAACATAGTAAGACATTTGTTGGACGGTGAGTCACTAAAACTGGTCTTTCCTATGTATCACACACTAACACAAACCTTCAACACAGGAGGCGGTGAATTGGATATGAACATTGTTAAGTCATCATTCAAACTCACAGGAGCATTCAGTACTTTATACAGAACACCAGGAAATGGAACTATCAATGCTAGCTATTTGCCAGACAACTATGTTCATAAGCGATGGAACTACTTTTACAATTCTCAAATTAACTCATTCATCTGGGACAATGGAGCAGTAGCAAATCCTCAAGACCAAGGCAAAGGTTTCCAAGACTATGGTAGAAACTTATAATGGCAAATCCAGTTAGGCAACAAAAAGTATCCAGAGTTTGAGGCACAATCATTATCATGCAGAAACCTTCTACTATTTGCGAGGAGCCATACATTACATGAACCCGGACCAAGATGCATTGATTTTCAGTTACAGGCAATACAGAGAAAACACATTTATTATTGGTATGTCGTTTGAAAACATGGTTGACGT